TTATCGGATACACAAGAACGTAAGTTACTTTCGCTTCTTTCTAATATATTATGTAATTGACCTGACGGGACCTCCTTTATGCACTTATTTCCGTCTTCAGGTGGCTTGTCTTTTCGTTTAACTCTCATAACGCTAACACGGCCATCATTAAGTATCGTTGATGTACTTGATATTGAACGAAAATCAGACATGCTCATAGGACTTAAAGAATGATCCATTATTTCCGGTAATGATTGTGATATATTATCTAACTCCCATGAATCATCATCATTTATCTGTTTCTTTGCTTTTGCAACTGGTTTATCGTTGCGTTTTTCTCGTTTATCAGTCGTTGTTCTTGACGTTGGACGAGAATGATCAAACAATGAACCACTTGCATTTCTGTGATATGTGCTCTCCTTACCATCAGACATATTATAAATAACATATTTAGTATGGGGTGTAGGAATGCTAGAATTTGTTGACGTGGTACTGTCTGTCCTTCTCGTAGATCTTGATCTACTACTTGTCCTTCTCGCAGATTTTGTTCTACTACTTGATCTACGAGTTGAAACTGGTCTTTGTTTATCAGCACTGCTCCTGTTTAAAATAGATAAATTAGTATCATCTGTGCTTACACTACTTCCCATACGGTTCAATATTGATTGATCTGATATCATATATCTTCTATTATCTTGTTTTAGCTCTCCTTTTTGGGATTGCCGTCGTCTGCCATAATTTCGACTAAAATAAGAACCAAGCAAATATATTTTTAATTAGCACAAAAATCGTGAAAAACAGTACTAATAATTTAACGAAGTTTCTTTAATTATCTTACCATAGGAAAAGATAGCAGAGAAGTGCCAAACAACAAAGTAAAGCCGCAAACATTAACGCCGATACTATAATAGCTGCTATTACTAACGTTTGATTTATACCACCTTGAACTGAAAAATACAATATAAAACATCATTAAGATAGTACACTGATTTGTTAACTTTTATTTTTTAATTTATCGCACCAGAAAAGATGCTCTACAGTCCTGCACTGTATATTAACCTAAAAGCGACAGTAAAGACTATGAAAGCCGTTGTCTTTTGCTTAAATATCTTTTAACGATTTTCGGTGACTAATTGAGAAAGTTTTGGAAAAATCTAACAACCGTTTGTATCATTTTGAAGTTGATTGAACGTTTATTTATTCCCCACATTAGTACTGTAAAGTTTGATAGCCGAATCTTCGCCAGGAGAACAAGAGCGGAGAAAATTCTCTTTCTCTGAGAAGCCAGGAAAACATCATTTTAACTGGAACTAACGACATAAACGATATGGTTGGATAAGGTAAGCTAGGATACGACAACACAAGTTAAACTGAGATAAGATCAGATAAGTTCAGCTTAGGTAAAGCAAAATAGAGAAGTTAAGGTGAGTTAAGGTACCTTCTCGAGTTTCTCCAGTTATGGAGTTTATTCTGAGAGTTACACAGTATACAGAGAATGCGAAAAGCAGGGATTTTTCTCAGCTCCAAGATATACGACACGGCGATGCATCATCTAAACACGACAACGAAAGGAATGTTGTTTTGTCACTCACTCTCACAAACCACATCCTTCTCCCTCAAAAGGTGCCAAAATGTCTTTGCGCCCTGATATCGAGTAGTGTACAGTGCAGGTTAAAGTAGGTATACTATGTAACTTTTAGAATAAACTATGTAACTCGAGAGTTGTTTTCTATTGACCTGGTTAGAGTATATTACCTTTTCTAATATACATAGATTTACTGAGTTCACCCTATTTACTAGCTTTCTATGTAGTTTGTCAAAGTCCAACTAAGAAGAAAAATTTTTAAACTTATTTCTGAATATATCTATAAAAACTAGTTCTCAGGCTGCTGTACCAGGCCTCTTCCACGAACTGATTCATATCACCGAAAAAAATAGAGTTGGTTTTGAGTTGCTGAAAAAGTGTTTTTTCGTATTCAGCACACTCGATAACCCAAAAGATTTTCTATTTTTGCTGAGGGATACTTCCAAAAGTTTAGGAAAACTTTTCAAACTAATATTATTTCCCCATGGAAATTTTTCTGCGTCATTTTGTTTCAGAAGTTTTCCTAAACTTTTGGAAGTATCCCCCGGCAAAAATAGAAAAATCTTCTGAGTTACTGAGTGTGCTGAATACGAAAAAACACTTTTTCAGCAACTCAAAACCAACTTTATTTTTTGTTCCGGTGATATGGCCATCATTCTTCTAAAATTCGCAACATAAATAGATGTGATATGGGTGAAGAAATACTATCACATCTTGCGCAGTTCTTTTTATGAAAACCTTTCTTCTATGCATAATCCGGAGTATTTTAAAATATACACTCTGCACACGCTAAAAAAGAAGAAAACTTTGAACACTTCGAAAACTCTTCCCTGTATTGGGTATAATCTGAAAAACGCTTTTCCGTATTCGAGAATACACGTAGGGTATGGGAACTTTCGCAAACCCTTTGGGTAAAACAAAAACTTCCGCATAATCAAAACAGAGTCCTCGAATGTCGAATAGGATACTTTCTAAAACTCTTTTATTCTTAAACTTTTTCTAAGATCGAAAGCGTATCTGGACATTCGATTGGTTTTAGAAAATACCTTTTTGGATATTTGGATTATTTCCTATAAAATCCTTCAGTTTTCGAAAGGTAGAAAACTCCTTAGAGTTTTTGAAAAGACCTTTTCCTTTATGTTAAATTTATTTCGAGAACCCTGTTTCATTTTGGAAAGTAATGTTGTCTTGTTTTTTGATTCGAATGGAGAGTGATAGTAAAGAGGAATATTCAGAAAGCTCGTTTTCCTTTTGCAGCACGCTTCTTACTCTCCTCGTTATTTTGCTAAGCCAAATTTTTGCATACTTTTCTACTTCGACCTCTTGAAAAGTGAGACTTCGGATCCTCGATATGAGACTTCGAGGGGCTGTCGGTTTCGAGCCAGATAGGTAGCGAGCCCTCTAGAACAATCCGAAACGTTGTGCAGCGATACTCGGAAGTCTTTTCGTCTGCTTGGGTCTCGAAGAGCTCTGAAAGCGACTCAAATCTTATCTAGCGTATTCGTTCAAAGAAAGCATTGCATTATGAATAAACAATAAGAAATCCTCATGCATGGATACTCACAGAGATAACAAAGCTTTATTGAAACATACCGGTCTCGTAAATGATCGAGACTACAGGCTGCATTGTTGTGCTACAAAAATAAATATCATTAGCTCAGATTCATGATCAGACTGACTAGGGTGAGGCTATCTGCTATAATGATGAAGTTCTCTGGCGTTATGCAATGTATCGTGATGAGTTAAAAAGTAATGCTCGAATGCTTGGAATATTTTCTGGATGACACGACAGAAATTTTCTTTCAAATTCATCTCATTTGATTATATATTTAAAAGCAGGTGTTTGAATTACGTTCGAACCGTTTTGTTCTCTTAAGAAGTTCAGTGCTAGTCTTATTCAAAATAGCGTATCAGATTTCGCAATTTAGTCCTAGTTTCTGCCTGTTCCATGGGATTGTGGAAGGATACATTGTTTGAAAGACGGTGAAAAACTGAGTACTCAATAACCACTGAAAGTTTAATTAGTTAAAAAGCTGAAATTTTTCTGTAAATCTTCAATTTCAACTCAGCATCCAACTCGTCTTCTTTGAACATTCATATTTTTCAGAAGATAATCAGAAATGCTAACAAAATAATGATAAATTCGGTAGACGATGTTTCATGATAAGTACTTTTCTTATAAACAGAATCTTCCAATATGCAAATAGATTGTTATTCTTCCATTTCATCCATATTGTGAAAGTTGGCTAACTATAACAATTAATCTCGGTTTTTGAAAAAATCGTCAATTAATCAGAAAATTTTCTGCTTAAAAATCTCGATTACATGCATAACTAAGCACGGTTAATTAATTTATCAACTGTGCTTAATTTCTTGTGGTTTTAATGACACAGGCATTGATTAATGGAAAAATCGCCAGCTATTGCTATTGCCATCACAAAAGTAATTTATATTTTTAGCAGAAGTATTTTCCTTTAAATAAGGTTGACGTATTTCCTGTAGCAACTGTATTCTCAGATAGTCGATGTTATGGAGGACAGGGCTTGTCGTATCACTTCCAACGTAGTATTAATTTGAGTGCTGTATGGGTGAGCTATCTGGATTTGTCTTCAAAGTAAACTTCTCAGAGTAAAGGTACTAATTCAACAAATCCATTCTCTAATCAATCAATACCTCTGGACTAGCTAAGAAGTCTCTGGGTAATAGAAAAGAGGTAGGCGTAAGCGCATGACGATTGTTTGGCACGTATCAACCAATAGGCTGAATGCACTGTTACTGAGGTGGTTAATCATCACACGCTTTTTTTTCTGATACATTATATTTCTTAAATAAAGGAAACAATATCATAAAGAGCACTAACCAAGAAGATAAAATGTTTAGAGCTTGAGAACAATACGGTATGCCTAATATTTGTATTAAAAATCAAATGGAATTCATTTACAGTAAATGGTCTCTGTCATGCTATAGCATCTGTCCTTGCCTTACCACAGACTCTCCTGCAGTAATAAATACATTTCGAGAACGAAAATAGCGCGTAGGAGAAAAGAAATCGTATTTTGTGAAGGTATTTAAGTGACAGTGACTACACTTACGTTGTGGTTGTTGTTGCTGTCGTAGTCGTTACTGTTGTTGTCGTTGTTGAGGTAGTTGTGGTAGTCGTTGTTGAGGTAGTTGTGGTAGTCGTTGATGTGGTAGTTGTTGTTGTGGCCTTAGTAGTACAGGTTGGATTAGTGTTTGCGGTTATCGTTAAGGTGGTGCAAGTCTGAGTAGATTGAACATTATTGCTAAAAACAAATTTAATATATTTTATTACTATGAGTTTTTCGCTACAAAGCTGAAAATGTTCGGTTTTCAGAACAAAATTCACTCTTAAATGAACAATTGGAACATAATAAGTCTTCCTCACTGTCTCGTACTATTTCTGTTCTTGACAACACTACTTCCGTTCTGTGGTGGGAGTGGAGAGGAAGCTATCCGACATTAATTCTTTCATAAAAAATGATAATAAAAGTTCTAACTGCAACATAGATTAATTATTCCCTCGCAGTATATTCTTATAAAAAAGCTTCCACTACACCTAATTACTTTTTACCAGTATATATGAGCTTCGTGTGATCGATACGAAATCTACTCTTTAATAGTGCACTTCTCTCTTCAAAGTCTGTGAGTCAAATCATAACACAGAGGAAACACTTTCAGCTCTTTTACTTGCCGCCTGCTACAACTCTTAATACATACTGAATTCTCGAAAATTTTGATGATACAATATTCAAAAGTGATCACTCGTTGCTTTGCTTATCATAATCTTGGCTTACACGCAAAACCTAATTGTGTGCTACGTTTTTCTTTCAAAAAGATAAGCAGAATTATAGCGGAGAGTACGATTCTACAGGCAGACTGTTCCAACAACACTAACTGCGATCTATGCTGGATTTGCCGCACTTGTTGCCTGAGAGATAAACTTGTTGAATGGAGAATTGTGATTAATTTTATAAGTTGGTCTGGGATTATTATTTCCATTGTGAATAAAATGTATATCTGTCGCTTAATAACAACCACTGATAAAACCTTGCAAGAATGGTGTACTTCTGTTTTCAGGCACTCCGAATAATGTTTGAAGAATTCATTCAATTGTTTGCTCTAAAAATCCTACTGTATTAGATACTTACTGTTTTATTATTGGCAACATAACGCAATAAAAATAGTAAAAGCATATCTCAAAAATGTGACGACTCTTCAGCTGATATGTGATAAATAGCTACTAGAAATATTATAAAATATTCAACTAGGTTAATTACTAAAATTGTTGTAACTCGTTTCTTTTATCGCAGTTATATGCTTTACCTGTCTTTATTTTGCACTATAGAATCAAATGATGAAACAGCGTGTGCATATCGAATATATAAGGTTTTATAGAGCAGAGATGACTGTTCATCTGTTGAGACAGGAATTCTTCCAACTCTGGTTTGGTGTCCGACAACAAAAACAGAGTGTACTAATCCTTACAGGCTACACGTTACAACATGTAAAGATTACTTCCAGTTCTTGTGAAGCGAGAGAGCGATGTAAGTATTCGCAATAACATAATACGAGCTTTTAAGACGAAAAGTTATTTCTAGCTTTTATTTCACCTGTCAACTGCAATTACGCAAAGTACTTCTGATCCTTGTTCTCCACTGGTTGGTACCCATATTATGGAAACTGACCATGATGTTGTGGTTTCTTGTTCAACGGCACTTTTTGAATTGATACCTGGAAATGATACCGTTCCTATATCTTGAATTGTTGCACCAGTACACTTAACGTCGGCAAGTAATCCTAGCACGTAAGCTTTTCCAACTATAAAGACGCTGCATGTTGTAATTGGGATCTGAATGGACACCACAGGTTTCGTTGTACATGACGGACTTGGATAAACAGAAACAAGAAACAGCACCCCCGTAGAACTAAAGGGTGTTATTGCTGTACTATTCCAAAAATCTTCGACCTTCGAAAATAAACGTAATAAATACATTAAGGTCTTTTTACGTCGTAGATGTAGCTGTTCCAAAAAATAGAACGGTATTGTTCTTTTATTTCTGTCGTTAGAATTTTATCAGAACTGGTGTCTTGAAGTCTTTTTCCTAGATTTTTCACCTGATGTCACTTGTTTTTTGCTCAGGTTATATCAAACGAAAAACTTTGAAACGTTTGGCCGCCTCGATTTAAACGTTTCGAAGATGTTTGACTATTCTTCAGGCGAAGTGTTAATTCTGTAACCAAACCCTATATTCGTTTTTAATAGTGAGAAACTGATTTTATTCAAAGTGTCTAAAATGACACAAGTGTAACCTTTGGTGTAACCATTTATTCTAAAAGTCATAAAAAACGGCTGCATCGTTCTTCATCAACAGTTACAGCTCTGTGAAACACTGTATTTAACTGCTTCTAAACAAGGAGACAGGCAGAGATCAGAAATACATTCTCCGTCTATACATTTGGATTTTATAATATTGTCGATAATGTTATCTGCATATTTTAATTTCTGCATCTCAAATAAGCAATGATTGAACTCGATGAAAATGCGTTAACATTAAAAAATGAATCAAGCATTGTTCACGAAACCAACAACAGTCCAATAGCATCTAACTTTACTAATATTTTATTTTTGTGTTAAAACACTTCAACAAGCATTAGATCAAAATAATAGTCTCATTCAACATAATAAAATCTGAACGAGTGTTTTAATCGTGGAATGGATCTATTGCCACTATTTTTGACTCAGAGGTTTTTCTGACCCAAATATTTTGTTCAATTCGACTATTCAGAATTCATTTGCTAGAGAATTTGATTTTGTATAAAGATAAAGTTAGATAACTTTTATATGTAACATCGTTCTTCGTAGACACGTTTTACTAAGAGTGGTGTCTTATTAACAAGCCCAGGGAGTGACAATAGCTTCTTGTTGACACTCCGAAGCTTGTCAATAGCCATTTCGCTACTAAAAACCAGTCAAATACTATAATGACAAACTTCAGTCGATGAATATCGACATAAATTTCGATTATTAATGTAAAACCAATACGAAATGAACTGATTAAAAAATGTTAATATCCATTCGAATGCACAAAGGGTTACGAAAACAATAAAACAAATTCAATAGCATCCGAAAAATAATTTTTCACATAAACAACAGTACTAACAATATACAGCAACAACATTAGACCAATTCTACTCTTAGTTTCTTCATCGAAAATCGTGAGAACTCTCATATTTAATCTGCTATTATAAATGTTGCTATACAAACACTACTTTTTGAACGGGTGTTTTGAAACAATTAATCACACATCAAGTCGAGAATAGTTTGGTTCATCTAGTAAACTTTGAGTCTTTTGAACTTTTAATAAACAAGAAATACCTGTATTGCGACAGCATATGTCTCATTTGCAGACTGACCACTAATAACTAATGTACAATTGCTATATAGTATGCTCCCAGTGGGTAATGAATCTGGCCAACAAACTGAGCCACATTCGTCAACTGTGGATGAATTAGTTGAAAATCGACAACGTATATTATCACCATCAGGGTCGAACGTTGGTATTGGAATAGACTGTAGACCACTCGATGGAATAGAAATATACGATGCCACTGTTGAAATTGGTCCAGAATTTAGTCTTCCATTTGGTCTAATTGATACACTGATTGTACATGCAATACTCCAAGATCCGTTATCATTCGATGAATATTTAGTTAAGGGTGGCAATGACATATCTTGAAATGCAACTGTAAAATAAGATCCCAGTGAAACATAAACTATATCTGACCGTTGACCAATTGTATATCCTAATGGTGCACTATAATCAGTACAATAAGGTGTGATAGGTATAGGCAGAAAACCCCCTGACGTTGAACAATCTGCTATACAATCTAAATAGTCTCCATACCCACTATGACCAGAAAGATCAAGCTGTGTTTGATTTCTTATTGAACTAACGTTACAGTATATTGTTGGATACGACCATACATATGTTTGCACTATTACAATTGGCACAGGAGCACCACCAGTTGCAGTATTATTCACAACTCTATATGTGACTGAACCGCCGTAAAAGTGTTCACTGGCATAAACATTAAATATTATTAAACTAATAAAAATGAAATAACGAAAATAGATGCTTGTCTTCATTGTTCAATCTAAATACGTAAAATTATTCATTATATTTTAAAGTCAAATCTCATACACGTAAAAAGTAATTTTAAACAATAAAATTCATTTAAAAATTACCTTTCGATCTCGTTAACATTTATCTGGATTTTGGACTATAGTAGAGAGTAGAATAGTTCCAGTAATAGATTAACTAAAAAGTCAATCGCATAACGTCCTAATTAAATAATTTATAAAGTTTAATCTAGATTTGAAACTGAAATCATCTAGTTTTTATGAAGTACCAGTGCCATGGGGAAAGAAAAAAAGCAGAGCGGTTGTAAATTTGGATAGAAACCTAGAGAAATAATAATGGTATAATATACCAACTTTAGAGCGATGTTAGAGGGTAACGACATTAAAACTTCAAAATTCGTTTTGTTACAGATTTAGCTTCATTCATTTATCTTTTATGATTTAAACGAGTACAATTCAAAAAAGAATGCTCTTCAAATGATTTTAATATTTCAAATATATAACCATTCTGTTTATTTGACTACTACAAGATGAATGTAGGTGTGATGATGTCGTTTGCATCCAATATTAATTCGATTCGCCACCAAATCTCGACAAGAGATCAGACGAACTTTTGAGAATTAAGAGGATATAAAATTGTTGTTCGTTTCCTATTGCTATAGAAACTGAATCGTAAACCGCAAGACAGCTCATTTTGTAAACTAAAGTGAGCTTTTCAAAATTCTAAGCAGTTGTCCACAATGTGCCTTCAGTTTCTGTAGCAGTAGCAGTAGAAAGAGCAAAACAATAACATACGGATGCCAGTATACGATTTTAGTTGAAAAAGTTATCATTTATCTGACTAGTGCAAGATGCTCCAATAGAAACTATATCGAACAGTAAAATCGCTGTAAGATAAGGAAATATTAGTCAAGACTGTTTTCGTCCTCAGTCAATCATTTCAATGTTTTCGTGCATGGCCACTATATGCAAACTAGGGCTATTTCTTCAAGTCAAATTCTACTGTCTTAATTTAAATGAAAAAGTCACACAGACTTCACATGACTTCAAAAGTAGCTCATTTTTATTTAACGTGTTTGTCTTCGTCATACATAATGCTGAGACCGGTATACACTGTAAAAAATAAAGTATGACCGGGGCACACTAAATATGCACATCACGTTGAACTGTTTCTGCACACTGAAGACGACTTGCTTAGTGTGTCTGTAACACACTGGAATTGCACATATAGAATTCAATGCATGCATTATTAAGCCGACCGAGTGAAACTCAGAGCGGGTTATTCTGTTTCACTACAAAAAATTCCTCTTTCTTTCTTCCACATCGTACTTTTTGCGTCGAGTCAGCCACTTGTTCTCAGCTATCACTAATCGTACAGGTTTGGGAAAAAGATCATTCGAGAATGCAAGAGAGTAGATGAAACAGCTAAAGTTATGTTTTCAATATATATTTTAGTTATTAAGTAATGAGTCTCAAAAGTTGAGCATATTTTCAATAACTTTTCAATGAAATAATTAATTGTCATATGACACTTCGTATACATTCAGTATGAATAGTGATTCATTAAATAGTCTTGTGCTACTTATCAGTCTATACTTCTGTATAGTTTGGTGCATTTATAGTCTGAAACATTATTACCAATAGAATGCATCATATGTTTATTACTAGAGCACTGCAGTGTTCTAACCGTATTTAAGAGATTCAAGCGGCGTCTAAAGTATTGCTAAGATAGGTTTCACTCGATCGGGTTTCCAGTCTGCCGGTAGGCTAGTTGGTATCTAGTTTTTACACTTTTTACACTGTAAACAATAAACTGTGCCCGCTATTATGCATTTCCGCAAGTGTGCATTTTGAGTCCAAAGTGATGTGCAAATTTTTCACTATGTAATTAGAGTTTTTATCTTCCGTTTCTCTACGGAAAAAAAGTGGAAGTATTATTTTTTTCGTTTTGTCTATGGAAGCTATCTTTATCATGTAGTTATTCGTAAAGAATTTTTGATTTTTAATACTATTAGATATCAGCAATAACCATGACACACTGGTCAAGAAAATTAACTAGCTGCAGAACGGAAATTGGATATGATATCCCCGTTGTTATTAAGGAGATTCTTACGATAACTATAAAAAAAAGAAATAGAAGATATTTGACATAACTTTGCTTTAACAGATATTAATTGAAGATGTGTAATTTTGAGCATTACTAAAGAGATTTTAGAAGTGCATTCTATTTGAATTAACTCACCAAATCGACTCTACAAACGTTTTATGAATGTGAAAATTAACTCATATAAAAATTAGACTTAAATTTAATTAAAACAAGTTAAAATAAATGTAGATTTGTACAATATGTAGAAAGACGAGTAATCATGTTAAGATCGGTGAAAAATAACATACTACTATGCTATTGAATTGATTAAAACGAAATAATATGAAAATTAACACTTTATTTATTCAGAAGACTTAGATGCATAATTAAAAGATCGCCTCATAGTCATTGTTCATTTAAAGTGTAAAACAAATAAGAAAACGCCATTGTATGTTTGCCATTCTTTATATAATTAGTAGAATAATTGAATTTTCAACATATGTATCGATGAATACTCTAAAACCAATAAAAATTGATCTGTATAATTGGATAGTGTAAGTTCATTTTTTATTTGTTCTCTATGATCGACTTGACCAAAATGTAACCGTTAAGAACGAAGATAATTTTAGTATGCAGAGAACAGATAAAACATAACATATTTTCATATAGATCAGAAAATGTCACCGTCCTTTAATATCAAACTAGTTTTTAATGATGGCATGTGGTACAAAATTTAATTCTTTTTATTGATTTCAAACAGACAACACACAAAAACTGTATATTAATGAATCTAAATCATTTCTTTACTAAACTGTTGCCTAAATTCCTGTTTAAACGACATTATCTTTCTGTCTGATGCTTTCGTGTAAGATCCAACATGCAGTGCGGACATGCGTAGGTAAAACTTTTACCTATAACGGGTGGAGCAAAAGTTCTACATTAATTTTGTTTTTAATATAGCGTTATGATGGAGTATCATAGAAGCTTTATCCTTTTTTTTTATTAGAAAGTGCAAAATGTCTAACTGTTCCGAAACTGTTTCGTAACTTCGGTCACAATTATTTTATCCAAATATAATTGTTTGACCTTTCTCATTATCGACTTTCGATACTTTCGAGCACCATATATATAAAGTTGTTCATTACAACGGGATATCGGAGTTTCATTAAAAGGAAGTTCATTCAAATTTTTAATGAAATTCTTGTGTCGTCAAAAACTCCAAGTCACAATCATTTTGCAGAAGCCATTTTAATGAAAATAACAGGACTTTCACTAAAAAACATTTTTAATAAAAGTACCGGTACTTCCATTAAAAAAAACGTTTTAATGAAAGTTCTTTTAATGAACATCACCCACTCTGTTATAACGAAGACTTTCGTATGTTATTTAGAAAGGATCTAACATGCAAGAGACTGAATAGGAGACAGTTTGATTAAAAAACTCAATTTGGCGTTTACAACAACGCAAAAACAAATTTTTTTCTGGATAAAACACAGAGAAGCCATGTTCTATTTCAAATAATATCATTTTATAGAAGACTAAATAAGCTTTCTTTTTTATATAAAATCTATAGTTTCTTGCAGCTATAACAGTAGAATTTCTTTTTTCGACTACGATCAACGATATTCGTGCATTTTGCGTTAGACAGTTCAGGATTCATACATTATACTTCTATTGACTAGCTATTTAGCTATTTTTTCACGTTCGTCCATGTTTGGTAAATCAAGTTCAAGTTCAACAAAGACGAAAAATAGATTTTATTCATTACATTATAAAAATCAGAATAAAACGAATAAAAAGCTAACCTTTTGTATTGAATCGAGTTTTTTCTAAATTCGTTAAGGTTGCGGAACTGTTTCCCGATGCCTTTTGTTCTAAGATTGTAGTGGCTTTTCCGATCAGATACTTTTATATATTTTTTAGAGATGGGCGAGTACACACTCTTTCGACTACGAGTATTTCGTGGTAAGTACGAGTACACGAAAATTTTATTCGTGTACAAGTTTTTTATAAAGAGAAAAAATGTATGCAGTAAAAGTTAATTTTGCTTTTTCTCTTGTAAGGACAAATAGTTCGTTTACTTCGTCCGACAGTCTCATTGGTTTAAGCTTCAATCTTGAACCAGAACGAAATCGACAATATAAATTCCCATTATATCATTCTGAAACTTAAACTATCAAAACACAAAATCAATCCTTGCACGAAGCTAGGATCGAACACACGAACTTGATCTTTGCAGATGAAC